CACCTGGCCCAACTCCGTAGACTACCAGTAGTTACCACCCGTAGCACTAGGCTCTCAACCTTCAACATCACTCCATCAGCGGTCATTCCCTCCCAGGCTGACTGGCATCAGGAACTGGTTCACTCAACAGGTTGACATACGGGAGATCAGGTCACCTGACCACATGAAGACTTTGGCACACAGTTGGCTACAGCCTCATCTTCTTCCTTATATCACTGTTACCTAATGTTGTTAATGAATAAAGGCTATTCCAACTGATGCATATAACAGGCTCATGAAATAAATGGGCCTCTATGAGTAGGTTGTAGGTGAGGAAGGATTACATCTCTGTAATCCTATGAATCCCTATGTGATAGTTTCAAAGTATATTCTCATGAAATAAATGAGTTTCTAGGAGCAGGCTTCAGATGACCTGAGGTAGGATAACAGCTCTTGCTTGCAGTTTCACCAGATACGTCAGTTGACAGCTCTTATGAACCCCAGTCTTAGTTTAAAAACAAAAGAAAAAGAGAGGAAGAGAAGGGGGGGAGGGGAAGAGAAACATGGAGAGCAAAAAAGATATACAAGGCAGACAAGCACTTCTTAAAATATTAAAGCATCATCCTAGAGAAGACGACGACCAGAGCGAGAGGCCCGCCAGCAACCCTGGACCTGGGAGTCTCCCCAAGATGACGACCAGAGCGAGAGGCCCGCCAGCAACCCTGGACCTGGGAGTCTCCCCAAGATGACGACCAGAGCGAGAGGCCCGCCAGCAACCCTGGACCTGGGAGTCTCCCCAAGATGACGACCAGAGCGAGAGGCCCGCCAGCAACCCTGGACCTGGGAGTCTCCCCAAGATGACGACCAGAGCGAGAGGCCCGCCAGCAACCCTGGACCTGGGAGTCTCCCCAAGATGACGACCAGAGCGAGAGGCCCGCCAGCAACCCTGGACCTGGGAGTCTCCCCAAGATGACGACCAGAGCGAGAGGCCCGCCAGCAACCTGGACCTGGGAGTCTCCCCAAGATGACGACCAGAGCGAGAGGCCCGCCAGCAACCCTGGACCTGGGAGTCTCCCCAAGATGACGACCAGAGCGAGAGGCCCGCCAGCAACCCTGGACCTGGGAGTCTCCCCAAGATGACGACCAGAGCGAGAGGCCCGCCAGCAACCCTGGACCTGGGAGTCTCCCCAAGATGACGAACTGTGGAACACTACAGCATGTTTATCCCGTCTAGGCCTAGATCTGAAGCACAGCAAGGCAGCAGGCGGGAGTCTGGCACTGTGGGAGTCTGGCACTGCGGGCGTCCGGCACTGTGGGCGTCTGGCACTGTGGGAGTCTGGCACTGCGGGCGTCCGGGACTGGGCGTCCGGCACTGTGGGCGTCTGGCACTGCGGGCGTCTGGCACTGCGGGCGTCTGGCACTGCGGGCGTCCGGCACTGTGGGCGTCTGGCACTGCGGGCGTCCGGCACTGCGGGCGTCTGTTACTGTGAGCGAGGTAGAGAAAGCCAAAGCCGAGCAAGAGAGACGTAAAGCTGACCAAGCCAGAATTGATACTAACAAAACAGAGGCCAAGAGAGAGAGAGAGAATTAAGACAACACGAAAGAAAGGCGGAAAATAATAGCCGAGCCAAGTCAAAGGAATAAGAGAACGTTGGTGGACCGACCCGCCAGGCCACGGGGAGCAGAGGTACAGTAAACTGTAACCCAGGGAACGTACCGTACAACAGCGGGTACAGAAATACACCGTTCAGAGTGGTACAGGAGGGAAGCCTAGTGCGCCGCATGGAACACCGCCACAAAATCTTCATTGAAAAAGAAGCCCAATCGCGGTTGCTGATGTGAATTCATCTAATCAAGACGGAAACACATTTCAGGGTATTAACTAATCAAAGCCCAGATGTTTCAAGTGTAATCAGATGGGACAAGAGAGTGGCCAAGTAAGAAGAGAGAAGTATCACTGACGGAGGCACATTCAGTACAGCTTGCCTGGCAATGATGAGGCTGCTGCTAGATCACGAGGCGGGAAAACATTTTGATGCTTTCATTCCTGCAAGCACAGTGACAGTGGGAGATCTGGCGGCCAAGGTAGTGGAGATACTGAGAGATACGGCAGCCAGCCACAGCTTGATTTTATAAAGCCTATTACGGGATGATGAGGTTCTGAAAAGCCGGCAGTAAATATACGGGGATTAGACGTGCAGAAAAGTGTACCATTATGTGAGGTAAACTTGGATTGTAAATACTTAGACGATAAAGTGAACATGGGAGTGTGTTCGCACTTACCTATTGATGACGTGCACATTATTTTGGGGAATGATTTGTGTGTAGTATCGTATCGCCAGAACTGAAGGTGCCAGAACCGCCTGCTGAACCAACGGAAAGTAACGAGGCTACGAGAAAAGATTTAGCAAGTATTTTACAGGATGATACAGAGGACCAGCGAAGGATAGTGATAATGAAGTCAGCGTTAGTGAAGGATATGATGACACTGGACAGCTGTTTAGCTTAGGAGGGCCAAGCACAGGAGGCTACTGGGGAAGGTTGCATATAGAACTGTCAACACCACTTGTCATACCTCGAGGCGGATTAACCGGATCACTGACAGAGAAGTGTGTGAGGAACTTCAAAACAGTTACAGGTCTCCCGGACGAATGTGACGAAGTGGTTCAACACGGTACGGAAGTTTGGTGTTGGTAATTTATTACGTTAGCTATCACTGGTGATATTACCAGTGGACAATGTGGTGAAGATGTCTGGCGGGCGACAAAAGTCAGAATGGTGCGACGTATATGCGCTGATAAAATGATACTGTGAGAGAGACGAGGACTCGGAGGAGACCCTTGAAAGGACGATAATGTGAGTATCTCGAGTGTCCAGTATAAGGCAGGAGGTCAGGTCAGAGGAGTTAGCCTTCATGGCCACCAGGGAGAAGTAGCCTCGGTGGATACACAGGTGGAAGCGATTAATAACTTCCCAGCACCAGAGATCCGGCGGGGATTACTAACATATTTGCCAATGACAGGATATTACCGACAATTTTGCACCAATTTTTGCTACGATTGCTGCACCCTACAATTTGCCATTGTAGGATCTTATTTGCAAAGTTTTGCAAGGCTTTGATCCACATCGGAGTCGGTGGCTGAGCAGACAGAACACTGGACGTGTGATCCTGTGGTCCCGGGTTCGATCCCGGGCGCCGGCTAGAAACAATGAGCAGAGTTTCTTTCACTCTGATGCCCCTGTTACCTAGCAGTAAATAGCTACCTGGGAGTTAGTCGGCTGTCACGGGCAGCTTCCGGGGGGGGGGGGGGTTGGAGGCCTGGTCGAGGACCGGGCCGTGGGGACACTAAGCCCCGAAATCATCTCAAGATAACCCTTGACAGGACTCATTTCCAGGAGTAAGAGTGTGACAGGAATTCCGCGATGTGAAGAATCTTTTGAGAAGACGAAGTTGCTGTTAGCCCAACCTGTTCTGACCTCACCTGCTGGTGGTGGTGGTAGTTGTTGTTGTTGTTGTTGTTGTTGTTGCTGCTTAAGATTCGCTACTCTGAGCATAAAGTTCCAAGCAGCACGGGCTATGGTGAGCCTTATTTTCACCTGGCTATGAGACGCCCTCTACCTAGTTACGTGGGAGCTGGAGCCCCAGAGTGAGCAGGTCTATGGTACTACCACCACCACCACCCACCGCCCACCACTACCACTACCACCACCACCACCACTACCACCACCCACCGCCCACCACTACCACTACCACCACTACCACCAACCACCACCAACCACCACCCACCACCACCACCACCATCACCACCACCACCCACCACCAACCACCACCATCACCACCACCACCCACCACCACTACCACCAACCACCACCACCACCACCACCACTACCACCACCACCACCACCACCACCACCACCACCACCCACCACCACCACCCACCCACCACCCACCACCACCACCACCCACCCCCACCACCCACCACCACCACCACCCACCAACCACCACCACTACCACCACCACCACCACCACCACCATCACCACCACCACCACCACTACCACCAACCACCACCACCACTACCACCAACCACCACCACCACCCACCACCAACCACCACCACCAACCACCACCACCACCCACCACCAACCACCACCACCCACCCACCACCCACCACCACCACCCACCACCCACCACCCCACCACCACCACCACCACCCACCAACCACCACCACCACTACCACCAACCACCACCACCACCCACCACCCACCACCACCACCACCCCCACCACCCACCACCACCACCACCACCACCACCACCAACATCAGACGGCATCATACTAAAAATTTCAATTTTCATTAGGGCGGCGCGGCGCCTCCCGGGCCTCAGCAAATGTGTCTTTGCACGACTGCTCTCTGCTGCACTCTGCTGAGCTCGGCTCTCTGCTGCACTCTGCTGAGCTCGGCTCTCTGCTGCACTCTGCTCTGAGCTCGGCTCTCTGCTACACTCTGCTCTGAGCTCGGCTCTGCTACACTCTGCTCACAGCACAGGAGTGTTGTGAGCGTCTGAAGCAATGAGCTCAGTGAGCAAACTGAGTGCCCAAATGAGCCACAGAGATATTAGAAAGAACTTTTTCAGTGTCAGAGTGGTTGACAAATGGAATGCATTAGGGGGTGATGTGGTGGAGGCTGACTCCATACACAGTTTCAAGTGTAGATATGATAGAGCCCAATAGGCTCAGGAACCTGTACACCAGTTGATTGACGGTTGAGAGGCGGGACCAAAGAGCCAAAGCTCAACCCCCGCAAGCACAACTAGGTGAGTACCTGACTGTCACTAACACACACCATACTCCACCTGACTGTCACTAACACACACCATACTCCACCTGACTGTCACTAACACACACCATACTCCACCTGACTGTCACTAACACACACCATACTCCACCTGACTGTCACTAACAAACACCATACTCCACCTGACTGTCACTAACACACACCATACTCCACCTGACTGTCACTAACACACACCATACTCCACCTGACTGTAAAATACACAGTTACCAACTGCAGGGTATAATTTCCTCCTTGTATAAAGTGATAAGTGAGCCAGGCTTCGCGCCTCGCTGTAGGACGTAAGTCTTCACTTCTCACTATAACTGTAAAGTGGGAGAAACGTCTCTGAAGATCACTCCAGGAACACGACTTATTCTGGACCAGAAATTATGGTTTGTGAGATCTGAGGAGTTAATACGTCTCGCTTCTTATGTGGTTACGAACCTGGGGCCAGATTCACGAAGGAGTTACGCAAGTACTTACGAACCTGGGGCCAGATTCACGGTGCAGTTACGCAAGTACATACGAACCTGGGGCCAGATTCACGAAGCACTTACGAACCTAGGGGGGGGGGGGGCAGATTTACGAAGCAGTTACGCAAGCACTTACCAACTTGGGCCAGATTCACGAAGCACTTACGAACCTAGGGGGGGGGCAGATTTACGAAGCAGTTACGCAAGTACATACGAACCTGGGGCCAGATTCACGAAGCAGTTACGCAAGCACTTACCAACCTGGGGCCAGACTCACGAAGCAGTTACGCAAGCACTTACGAACCTGGGGGCAGATTCACGAAGCAGTTATGCAAGCACTTACGAACCTGGGGCCAGATTCACGAAGCAGTTACGCAAGCACTTACGAACCTGGGGCCAGATTCCCGAAGCAGTTACGCAAGCACTTACGAACCTGGGGCCAGATTCCCGAAGCAGTTACGCAAGCACTTACGAACCTGGGAGACCAAACGTCGTAACTTAGCTTCCAGATGCTGAGTGTCCAATACTCAATCCCGTTATTGTGACTTAGTGTGTGTTCAATGAACCTGTTCAAGTATTTGCGGACACATGTTCCATACATTACGGATATCAAAAGCGTTCACGTGTGTTCAACTGTTGTTCTAGTTGAGCATGAGTGAACACTTTTGAAACGTGGTTTGTGCATGTTATTTAATGTTCCAGTGTTCACTTGTGTTCAGCAAATGTTCTCTCCCCTGCAGCCTGTGCTGTGTGAGGCGGCGTATGTTCTTCTGGAGTATGCAAGAACAGCAATGTTCATGTGGATGTTCATCGAGGGACTCTACCTTCATAACAAAATAACAGGTAAGTGTTCTCACATCCTTCTCTGTCGGGGTAAGGAACGTATCTTTGTGTGTGTGTGTGTGTGTGTGTGTGTGTGGGTGGGTGTGGGTGTGGGTGGGTGTGTGTGTACTCACCTAGTTGTACTCACCTAGTTGTGCTTGAGGGGGTTGAGCTCTGGCTCTTTGGTCCCGCCTGTCAACCGTCAATCAACAGGTGTACAGGTTCCTGAGCCTATTGGGCTCTATCATATCTACACTTGAAACTGTGTATGGAGTCAGCCTCCACCACATTACTGTCTGGGTAAGAAGCGTATCTTTGTGTGTGTGTGTGTGTGTGAGAAACAGGCCAACGCTCAGTACGGGAGACACAACACAGGGACACGTCCGCCTGACGCTCCGTAGAGACAGATAACCGAGTTAAACAATATTATTTTATAACCCAAATTTGATCAGTGAAATTGTTGGTGCACAACATTGGCAACTGTGAAGCAATATGCTTGCAACAGTGTTGCCAACTGTGAAGCACTATGCTTGCAACAGTGTTGCTAATCTGGTATATAGCTCACGTGACGTCATCTCACCAGAGTGAAGAACCATCTCTCATTTATTTATACTTTTTCTGATAAGTATTAATAAAAAGTGAACTAATCTTTTGAACCTTAAAGTAAATTCTAAGTGATGAATAACAAAAAAATAAATATAAATAATGTCACGAAATGTACCCAAACGTCTTGGTCGACCTGCTTGAGAATCGAACCCTTGACCAGCCGGTTATAAGCAGACTGTGCAGACCACTGCGCTACGGAGCCATTAATGATGGCTCACAAATTCTGCCATATATGTTATAACATTTTCAATGTTATATGGGGATACGCCCCTGTTATTTACACGGGGATATATTTTATAAGGTCAGGTCTGTCAATGAGCTTTAAAATTTTATATGTCGTTATCATGTCTCCCGCGGCCCTCTCGTCTAATGGGATGAGTGTAGGTGGCAGCAGGGGCGGGACTCGTCAGGTGTGTGTGTATAATGTTTGTGTTGGCGAAGACCTGGCTCACAGCGAGGCTTAAGGCCACAACTGGAATATATCAAATATTTTGTTGACATTTTTTCTTTCTCTGCAGATAGGATGTATATTTTGTGCTCTCTGTCTCTGTCTGTCTGTCTGTATCTCTCTCTCTCTCTCTCTCTCTCTCTCTCTCTCTCTCTCTCTCTCTCTCTCTCTCTCTCTCTCTCTCTCTCTCTCTCTCTCTCTCTCTCTCTCTCTCTCAGCCCCCACACTAACCCCAGGTCCCCCCCCCCCCACACTAACCCCAGGTCCTCCCCCCCCCCCACACTAACCCCAGGCCCCCTCTCTCTCCAACAGTGACCGTGTTCCATCACAGTTTCTACTACAGTGCCTACCAGGCCGTCGGCTGGGGCGTCCCGGTGCTAATGACGGCTGCCTGGGCCACGGCAACTGCCATGTTCTATGGCAGCTCCAGGTAACCCTCTCCTTATTTATATATATATATATATATATATATATATATATATATATATATATATATATATATATATATATAATATAATATAATATAATATAATATAATATATATATATATATATATAATAAAATGGTCCCCAAGCCAATATACAACCTAGAACTGCTCAGCCCTGAAGGACTCGGACCCAGACAACCATTTGTAGAGTCAGTCTGGTCTGGTGGTACAGTTCAGGCCACGCTAACTAAGGTCTCCTTCACAAGTGAACAGTCATAGGTGGCATATTGCTTGCAGACCATTCACGCTACATCTCATATATAGTCAGGGCTCACATATATATAACCAACGATTTCTTATTACAGTCAGAGCTCACTTAATGCTGCCAGGGGCTCACTTATTACAGCCGGAGGCTTACTTATTGCAGCCAGAGCTCACTTATTACATGCAAGGCTCACTTTATGAAGCCAGAGCTCACTTATTTCATCTAGGGCTCACTTATTACAGCAGGGGCTCACTTATTAGAGCTAGGACTTACTTATTTTAGCCATGGCTCACTTATTACCGTCAGGGTTTACATATTACAGCCAGAGCTCACTTATTACAGTCAGGGCTCAATTACATTAATGGCTCATTTATTACAGAACTCGCTTATTGCAGCCAGGGGTTCACTTATTACAGAGAGGGCTCACTTATGACTTCCAGGGCTCACTTAATGCAGCCTGAATTCACGTATTACAGTCAGTCCTCACCTATTATCGAGCTCAGCTATTAGTCGGAGCTCGCTTATTACATCCAAAGCTCGCTTATTTTAGCCGGGGCTCACTACGGATCTCAATTACAGAGCTACCTTATTACATTTAGGACTCATTTATTACTGCTAGAACTCGCTTATTATTGTCAGAGCTAACGTATTAGTCAGGTCACTTATTACAGCCAGGGCTCACTTATTACAGCCAGGGCTCACTTATTACAGCCAGGGCTCACTTATTACAGCCAGGGCTCACTTATTACAGCCAGGGCTCACTTATTACAACCAGGGCTCACTTATTACAGCCAGGGCTCACTTATTACAGCCAGGGCTCACTTATTACAGCCAGGGCTCACTTATTACAGCCAGGGCTTACTTATTGATCATGGCGTCTCCAATTTTCAGAAGGTTTAATTTCAATATAAATTTATATCAATAAAAATGTACTCCAATATCCCACAATTAACACGACTCTCTTTAATAATGTTATCTCTCTAACACTATTGTATCTCTGCCATTATTAGACATATTGTATCTGGAGGAGGAGATATTGTATTTCTACCACTATTATCTCCCTACCACTATTGTATCTCCCTCACCACCACCACTCTCCCTCACCACCACCATCACTCTCCCTCACCACCACCACCACCACTCTCCCTCACCAACACCACTCTCCCTCACCACCACCACCACTCTCCCTCACCACCACCACCACCACTCTCCCCAACACAGGTGCTGGTGGGGGTACAACTTCACGCCCTACTACTGGATCATGGAGGGACCAAGGTTCTCTGTCATATCGGTAAGTTGTCCACAGCCTCGTGCCACGTGTCATGTGTCATATGTTTTGTGCTTCCCTTCTTGTCCACTCACGTGTGTGTGTGTGTGTGCGTCTGAGAGAGAGACAGGACCCAGGGGGACGCATGAGGAGAAAGAAAAGGAATGAAAGTAAAGGTGGTAATTACGGAAGAGGGGGTGGGTGAACAGGAGTAATGGAAGGAAGGTGACAATAATCACTAACAAAGAGAAATAAGAGAATATGGAGCGACACACACAGAGGTAAACAGTTGTTGAGGCGGAACCAAAGAGCCAGAGCTCAACCCCTGCAAGCACAATTAGGTAAACGCATGTTGAACACCCGTTCTGGGACCGCCAGCCCCCCCCCCCCCTTCACCCACCGCAACCCATGGTGGGTATCGACACCTGCTGATCAGTGTCTCCAGACACCAGTGCCATCTCTTACCAGGGAGCCAACCACTTGTACTCTCCCTGGCACCACTCTGGGCCAGGAGTCCTCCCTCCCTATCCAACCTGCTCTTGCACAAGACAGCACATATATGACTTATTGCTTATAGTCACTATTTCGCTTATAAATAAGCACATATGTGACATATTCTCAAGCCATATTTTTTTTCCAAGGCACTAACTTTTCCTCTCAGTTTTATTAAACAATAGATTTTATACAAAATTACTTTTAATTACAAAATTAATAAGAGTTACTTTACAATTTATTTAAATATTTTAGTTTTGTTTTATTGTATAAAACTGTAATATCAATATAGGTAAAGGTTCAGTACTAATTGTAATATCTTAACATACTAAGAAGGTTACCTTAGGTTGTGGTTTTCTATTCAGCTTATCAAGGTAAACTCAAATATTCGCAATAAATTAATATGTCACATATGCACTTATTCATAAGCAAGATATTGACTATAAGCAAGTGCGAGAACGGGTTTTCCAGGTACTACAGCCTCACACTCACACCATAACGATGTGCTAAAAGTTACACAACCTGGAAGCCGCTGAAGTTGCTTTAAAAAAATTTCTCATAAATATATCCACTTATTGTGAATAAATTGTTTAGTTAACGAGAGCGTTTGAAATACTTCGTTATCAGTAGCGTGTATCAGGCTTACATGTCAACATTGGATTGGGTACCGGGTCATTTGGAGCCTGGTTAAGTAACTTTTAGCACATCACGGTCGATACCCACGCATCTGCGGGCTCCTCGACGGTGGTTCGATCCCCGAGGTCCTGCTCGAAACGTTTCCTCCTAACAGATAAATAACAGTACTGTGATTTCATTGTTTAGGCGTAAGTTACTGTGAATAACTTTTCCTTGTGAGAACTGATTGTTCTGGTGGCGGGTTTGTTCTTCAGATGAACATGGTGTTCTTACTGAACATCATCCGGGTCCTGGTGACGAAGTTGAGGCAGAGCAACTCCAGCGAGGCTCAACAAGTGAGGTGAGTACACACCTGCCTGGTACACACCTGCATGGTACACACCTGCCTGCCTGGTACACACCTGCCTGCCTGGTACACACCTGCCTGCCTGGTACACACCTGCATGGCACACACCTGCCTGCATGGTACACACCTGCATGGTGCACACCTGCATGGTACACACGCCTGGATGGTACACACGCCTGGATGGTACACACGCCTGGATGGTACACACCTGCATGGTACAAACCTGCATGGTACACACTTTCATGGTGCACACCTGGATGGTACACACACCTGGATGGTACACACAACTGCATGGTACACACCTGGAAGGTGCACACACCTGCATGGTGCACACACCTGGATGGTACACACACCTGCATGGTGCACACACCTGGATGGTACACACACCTGCATGGTGCACACACCAGGATGGTACACACACCAGGATGGTACACACCCCAGGATGGTACACACACCAGGATGGTACACACACCAGGATGGTACACACACCAGGATGGTACACACACCTGGATGGTACACACACCAGGAAGGTACACACACCAGGAAGGTACACACACCTGGATGGTATACACACCAGGAAGGTACACACACCTGGATGGTACACACACCAGGAAGGTACACACACCTGGATGGTACACACACCAGGAAGGTACACACACCTGGATGGTACACACACCAGGAAGGTACACACACCTGGATGGTACACACACCAGGAAGGTACACACACCAGGAAGGTACACACACCAGGAAGGTACACACACCAGGAAGGTACACACACCAGGAAGGTACACACACCAGGAAGGTACACACACCTGGATGGTACACACACCAGGAAGGTACACACACCTGGATGGTACACACACCAGGATGGTACACACACCAGGATGGTACACACACCAGGATGGTACACACACCTGGATGGTACACACACCTGGATGGTACACACACCAGGAAGGTACACACACCAGGAAGGTACACACACCTGGATGGTACACACACCTGGATGGTACACACACCAGGATGGTACACACACCAGGATGGTACACACACCTGGATGGTACACACACCTGGATGGTACACACACCAGGATGGTACACACACCAGGATGGTACACACACCTGGATGGTACACACACCTGGATGGTACAAACACACAGGCCAGACAGGTACACACCTGGATGGTACACACACCAGGATGGAACACACACACAGGCCAGACAGGTACACACCTGGATGGTACACACACCTGGATGGTACACACACACAGGCCAGACAAGTACACACCTGGATGGTACACACACCTGGATGGTACACACACACAGGCCAGACAGGTACACACCTGGATGGTACACACACCTGGATGGTACAAACACACAGGCCAGACAGGTACACACACACACACACAGGTATACACAGGTACACACACCCCAGACAGGTACACACACACACACAGGTATACACAGGTACACACACCCCAGACAGGTACACACAGGCCACACATGTACACACACCCCACACAGGCCAAACAAGTACACACAGGTACACACACCCCACACAGGTACACACACCCCACACAGGTACACACACCCCACACAGGTACACACACCCCACACAGGTACACACACCCCACACAGGTACACACAGGAACACACAGGTACACACACCCCACACAGGCACACACAGGTACACACGGGTACATGTGTGCACCTCCTCACTAACTCAGTTATCATATCTCTTCTTCTTTTCATACAAATCTCACGATGTGCAACGTGTGACGTCACGCTCTCCCCTGCGCCATGTGTGGATGGCCTCACGTGACGGTTGTGGGCGTGGCGTGGGCGTGGCATGGTCGTGGGCGTGCAGGAAGGCGGTGAAGGCGGCCATCGTGCTGCTGCCCCTGCTAGGGA